GTCCTCCGAAGACCCTCTTCCACCCTCCAGCTCGGTGGCCTCTTGGCATCCGTGGGAGCAGCATTGCTGGAAGGCTGGCCACAGGGCTGGCCACGGCTGGGATGGGCCAGTCTTGAAGGTGCCCCGTGGCTGGTGGTCCGTTTGGGCTGAGAGTGCAGTTAGGGAGGGCAACTAGTGTGTGCATGTGGGTACCTACGTTCCACGTTTCTTGTCGCCCAGAATTTTAATTTTATCCACATCAACCTTCCATGTGACACTGTGGCTTTTCGTAGAGGAAAAGGAGGGTGCCATTGTGAGCAGAGGCCACAGATGCTTAAAACTCTTAAGCAAACGCACCCACCCCAGAGTTGGCAAGGGTTAATTTCAAACAAACATCCTAGCTAACTGCCCAAACACCATCTGAGCTGGCCTCAGGCTTGTCTAGGTTTGCCTAAAGGATGTAGCTGTGATTGCAGACAAAGACCTCAAAGAACTCTTTGCCCATGCTCAGAGGCACTTCCTGTCCAATTTGCTGCACTGGTTGTGGGGCTAATCACCTGCTTGGTTCCTCCATCAATTAGCACCCTGAATAAGATTTTAAAAAACAGCCTGCCTCCTGTTTCATTAAGTGGATGGTTTCAGGTTGGGAAAAATCCAGGATTTGGGGTTTGCGCTTTGCCAGAGGGAGGGGTGATCTCATTTGGGAGAGGGGGTTTCAAAACCAGTTTCTTTTCCAGGTGGTCCTTCCCTGGAGGAAGACGCTGGCCTTCACCATACCTGCTGAACACCACATTACAAAAGGTTTGCGTCCTCTGGTCTCCTCTGACGCATTTCCATAAAGGCCAGTCGTCTCTTGGCTTGCAAACAGTTTAAGCTCCCCCTCCTTGGGGGAAAAAAATACCCCAACAAAACAAATATTTGGTCAGCTCTCCCTTGGGAGCTCTGCCAGGTGTTATTTTTTTTGCTCCAAAGACGGCATAACCTTGATGAAAGAAGTTGGTGGTAAGTTTTAGAAAAGATTTTAGTAATCCTTCTCTTTCCTTCTCTACCGTGGCCGTTTGGATGAAGGACAGCAGAAGGGTTCACTTTTAAAAACACACATACGTTAGGATGGCTCTGGGACATCTTCTTCCATCTGGGTTCCAGGCAGGGGAGAGTTTTTGCAGAGAAAATTGGGAGCCTCTGAGTTGTTCCAACCACGTCACTCTGGGGCTCAACCGCTGTCTAGGTTGAACCAGTTGCCTGAAGCAGGCGTGCCAAATCTTTAACATCTGGGCAGGGGTGGGTCAAGAAGCCCCCTAGGCCACAAGTATGGGGTCAGGCAGAGCAATGGTTCTGGATGGCAGATCCAGATCTTGGTCTGCATCACCTCTGCAACCAGCGTGAGGCTGCCGGACAATTTCCACTTGAAATGTCCCACAGGGCATCATTTCAGGCTATGGGTATTTAAATGTGGGTCTGGCTCCCTGATCAAGTTTTTCAGGGGGGACCCTGCAAGCCACTGAAGGTCAGGGGGGTGATAAAAGTGGTGGTGTTGCCCCAGGCTCAGAGGCGGCTGAGTGAGAAGAGGATCCACTGTGAGCTAGGGAGCAAAGAAGTGGAGACATTTCTGCCTCTCTCAAGAAGCAAGAAGATATCATGTTCCAATCTTCTTCTTCTTCTTCTTCTTCTTCTTCTTCTTCTTCTTCTTCTTCTTCTTCTTCTTCTTCTTCTTCTTCTTC